TTCATCCCTTACTACACCGGCCTCGCCGTCGAGAAGTACCTCTTCAACAAGAACTCGACCGAGGAGGACCTCGACCGCGACTGCCGGAGGATGCTTGACTGGGTGTCCCGCCAGCCGCACTTCGCTAGATCCGGCGGGTGGGACCACTTCTTCACCGTCGGCCGGATCACGTGGGACTTCCGGCGTAACGAAATCTCCGACTGGGGCTCCAGCTGCATCTACATGCCGGCGATGCGCAATATCACGCGCCTCCTCATCGAGAGGGACCCCTGGGACTCCATGGACGTCGCCGTCCCCTACCCCTCCGGCTTCCACCCCAGATCCGCCGCCGACCTCCAGATCTGGCAGGACTTCATCAGCCGCCGCCAGCGGCGCACGCTCTTCTGCTTCGCGGGGTCCACGCGCGGGTTCATAAAGAACGACTTCCGGGGGATCCTGCTGGAGCAGTGCTACTCAGAACCGGGTTCGTGCCGGGTCGTGGGCTGTGGTGGGGGGAAGTGCGAAAACGGGACCTCCGAGATCTTGGAGACCTTTCTTGATTCCGATTTCTGCCTGCAGCCGAGGGGGGACAGCTTGACGAGGCGCTCGATTTTCGACTGCATGCTGGCTGGGTCTGTCCCTGTTTTCTTCTGGCAGAGGACTGCTTACTTGCAGTACGAGTGGTTTTTGCCGAGCGATAGGGGGAGCTACTCGGTTTTCATAGACCGGAATGCGGTGAGAAACGGGACCTCCATTAAGGGCGTGCTCGAGAAGATTAGTAAGGATGAGGTGAAGAGGATGAGGGAGAAAGTGATCGAATATATACCGAAGATCGTGTATGCGTACTCGAATAAAGGGATCGATGGTGTCGATGATGCTTTTAATGTGGCTGTGGAGGGATTTTTGAGGAGAGTTAAGGAGCAACAAGGTGGAATCAAATCGAGATGAATTATAAGTAAAATCATTATTCTTTTTTCCTTTCAATTCTTTTTGTTGGGCAATTTGTTAATCGATTGTTGTTCTGTAGGTTGTTGTTCTGTAGGTTAGAGTTGGTCATTTGGTGATGACATTGATGAGGACAGTTACCACCATGTGTTTAAGTTATTTGAGAAAGTTGATTGTGGATAGGCATGTAATATGATTTGTACTAGTATACAGATGTATGATTTGTTCTTGAAATAAGAGTTCTGTGAGTGTATGCTTTGATGAGCTTTTGG